CTCCCTCCCTCCCTCCCTCCCTCCCTCCCCATCTTCCTTCCTTCCCATCTTCCTACCTTCCTACCTTTCTTCCCTCCCTCCCACATATATTATAGGTTTGTGCCGTTTGCCCCTCATGACCCTCAGAAGAGCCCCGGTGAAGCTGTTGCCTCCTACTCCCCCTCCTCTTCCCCCTGCTCCTCCTCGACTGACCCAAAGTGGCAGGAACTGCCTGCCACTTTGCTGGGGGGAGGTGGAACAAAGGAAGCCTCAGACTGTGAGGAAAACTGGGAGGAAAACTGCACCTCCATTCTCCATTCCTGTGTTCTCCAAGGGAGGAACAGGGCTCACCCATCGACCACTGGCACCCTGCAGCCAGCCCTGCCTTGCCAGCAGGTATGTGAGTCACTCCCTTGTCCTTCGCTTACCAATTGCCATTTAGATATTTCATATTTCTGCTTCGTTTCCAAAGCAGCCAATTGCCACTTGCCCATCAGACCTTGCCGCCAGCTGATTGGGCATAGGAGACAGAGGGAGGCGGGAAAGAGATCAGGAATATGCCCATAATGATCACGTGACCTGGACTGATTGCTGCAGTACAGTGCGGAAGCAGCCACAAATTTCCCAAATTTCAATCCCACATGAGTAATGGGTCCCGGAATTTGGACACATACTATAAGTTAGCTCATTTGAGGTACCTTGGTTCAAAAATTGTTGCCCTATGACACACAGTTTTGCCCAGTTGAAGGTTATAGACCTGAGAGTTTTAGTAGTATATAGACAAATAACCTCTTTTTCATATAACTCTTGTCTATAAAACAAAACCTTAAAACCATATCTTTGGTCCTAGTCAGAAAAGTTTTGCCCAGTTGAAGGTTATAGACCTGAGAGTTTTAGTAGTATATAGACAAATAACCTCTTTTTCATATAACTCTTGTCTATAAAACAAAACCTTAAAACCATATCTTTGGTCCTAGTCAGAAAAAAATCCATTGAAAATTACAGAAATAACAACCTATTTTAACCTTGATCAAATAAACCCACTTTATATTCCTTCTCCTTACTCCCAACAGTCTCAGTCTTAGGTCCCTTCAAATAATATCCTGACACATGGCTTCTTTTCATTTTTCTTTGTCTCTTCTCATAAGGTCACTGACAACATTAACAAGACCCTTTTGTCGATCCAATCTAAAAAGGCTATCCAAGTCACTCTTCAGGTCTATTATTTGTATGTTCTTTTTAGTTATTAAAACATTAGCCAGTTTCATTTTTAAATTCAGTGTTTCATCTTGTTCCATATCCTTCTTGTAGTCTGTCATTTCTAAGTCCAGATTTGAATTATTTTCCTTCTTGTTCCTCTTCCATAGCAACATCTAATCTATCAATAATGGCAGAAATCCCTAAAATTTCTTTGATAAATGTCATTTGTTCACATATACATCTCTTAATGCACCCATTGTTTTATTTGCTTCTGGTGCCCTCTTGTGTCCAACCTTCAAAGACCCATATTATTTTGTTTTTCTTCTGAATGCAAAAACATGGCTAATTTCCCATGGGAAGGATTCTTTAATTTAATTCCATTTATATTAAATTGTTCTGGACCCTTAGTTCATTTATAACTCTCTAAAAACAACACTCCTATCACCCTTTTGCTGTTAATTAAAAAAACCCCAATTTTTTAAAATCCGCAAATCCATACTTAACATTTCTTTTATAAAGAATTAAAGAAAACTAACCCAGCGAATACCATAAAACTTGCCATTCCAGAGGTTCTCAATATTTAAAAAGCAATAACAAAATTAGTTCCAAAGTGATTAAGAAATGAAGATTGATCAAACTTTGAGTCCAAAAAGGCTACATTATGACTATGAGCTTAGGTGGAATCCCTCGACTCCCAGCCGCTCCACTCACCAGCTGACCATGAAAGCGTCATTTCTTGAGGTTTACTTATGAGGAGTAGCTGTCTGGAATGCATGTGGGCCATCTCAAGATCTCTCCTTTCTCCGGAGAGGTTTCACCACCCCAGGTCCTGCATCTGGCCTCGAATTTCAGCCGTAACGTCCTTGTTTTCCAGGGATGTCTTCAGTTTGCCAGGCCCTCAGTGGAAGTCCAGTAAACTAGTTTATTAAGTGCAGAATAAAATGATCAGTTCTGAACCTGAGATTGGTGATTAATAAAATACAGATTGGTCATATCAGAACATTGGATTTATTTATTATATTTGTATACTACTGAATCTTGCAAATTGTGTCACTTTACAGCGACAAAACATAAAAGCCAAAATATATTTAAAACTATAAATAAAATAATAACATGATAAAAATAATTCAAATAAACATAAAAACCATTACTGTAACTATAGGCATCTACCCAATAATGGGCAATATTAACTTCCAAAAGCCCTACAGAATAGTTTTGCTTTGACAGCTTTACAGAAGAATGACAAAGTTCATATCAAACATACCTCTGGGGGGGAGCTATTTCACAGGGTGGGGGCACCACCAGGAGTATCTGCAGAGGTGGGTCAAAATAATTAAGACGGTTGTTGTGATCATGAGATTGTACATGTGTACAAATAAATGTCTGAACTGAAATATATTTTAACTGTAAGGTGTTGTTTCTCAATTATTATTCCTCAACAGTTGCTGAATATAATTTGGTCCACATTAATCTTTTGATTTGCTTCTTTTGCCAGATTCCTGCATCATTGGTGACCACCCCAAGCTGCAAATAAAGAACTCTACTTTCTGTATGAGTGCCTATCCAAACTTGACAATGGTTAATTATACCAGCCATGTCAACAAAACTTTTGTCAGTGGCAGTGAAGAATATTTCAAGTAAGATCGTTTTATAAAAGTTTTATAATTAAAAAAAATTAAAGGAAATCTTAGCATAAAAAACACTTGGTGATAGATATTTTTATTTCTATATTTAAATGTATTTTACTGTTTTTTCATATAATTGTTATTAAGGATTTTGAAACAAAGATAAAAACTAACAAGAACTAATATAGAGGAAAGAAAGAAAGGAAAAAAAGAAAAGAAAGAAAAAAGCCAAAAGTGCAAAAAGGGATAGAAAGAAGTATGAACGCTGTTGATTTCCCCCACTTTTCTCTGCAAGTCTCATATGTGATCCAGAAGGTTCAAATCTCCTCCAGAGCAAATGCTGGAGAAGGAAGGAAAAGAAAATTCCTCATTTATGTATTTATTTATCAAGTTTGTATGTCACCCAACTCCCAACAATGCTTATAGGAATGAAAATCCATTCAGATAATAATGGATGCAACAGTAATCAATTGTTTTTATTTACATATTCATTTCTCAACCAATAAAGCAACAAGTGAACAGAAAATTGTAATCACATTGTCTATATGCTTTTTCTCTAGTTTTGCTATATCATTTTTGGATATATAATCTCTGTTTATATTCATTAATATGAATTGATTGCTGCTAATATTTGGACAAAGGTTATTTAATGGTTGTGCATGTGTCAGTAAAACAATTCATGGTTTTGGATTCAAAACATGCTTGGCATTCAATGGTCTGAATATGACTTTTACTAACGTGGTCACATTTCTATTGTTTCAGTATTACTTCCCTAGAGCCAAGGTAGCATTGGACATTCCTGCTAGATGTAATACATATTACACTGGGGTGGAGTGGGGTGGGGAGCGGCAAACATAAAAATAGTTGGATTTGCAGAGTACCTTGCTCCTATACTGAGGCTCAAAAACTGTAAATCATTATATCCTTTGATATTTCCATGACATTAATATCAGATTCAGATTCCAGAGAGCTAGTTTGG